GCATTGAAAATGGTCTTAAAAAGTCTTAAATCTTACTTGATGATACCTATAGAAGCCCTGGATGCTCCAAAACTATATGCATATAATTATCTCAAAATTACCTGAAGTACTAATTAATGCCAGGCAGTATATTGTTAATCATCTCTACAGTACCTAGACGGTGGTCAGAGAGACAGACCTATACCTAGACGGTGCTCAGAGAGACAGACCTATACCTAACCTATACCTAGACGGTGCCAGAGAGACAGACCTATACCTAGACGGTGCTCAGAGAGACAGACCTATACCTAGACGGCGCTCAGAGAGACAGACCTATACCTAGACGGCGCTCAGAGAGGCAGACCTATACTTAGACCGCGTTCACAGAGGCAGACCTATGCCAAGGCAGTTCAGGTTCCCCATAATGCCATTCCACCCATAGGAAATATTGCCATGATAGTTTGACCCTCATAATATGATCCTTTGACCATAAAAACCTAAATTTGGAATCACATTGATATCATTATTAGTTTAAAAGCTATACAAGAACAACGATATGTTCACTAATGGCAATTTTCTTCTGGATCTAACAAAGCAACTGTTGAAGATACAGTGGAACCTCAGTTTTTGTACGATTCATTTTCAACGACTTTTTCATCAAAATTTTGTCCCAGTTTTCATATGCTGTCTTCCATAAGCCTACAAGAGTAAATAAATGTAAAAGTGATGTTAAATGTTCATTTATCCATTTCATTAGACATTTATATTTATTTCTCATTATTTTCTGTATGTAAAAATATAGTTATTCTCTATAAAATGTATTTTTTGTTAATAACCTCTAGAGTCCTGAGCTTTGGAAACCCAAGCTGTGCGGTCCTCATATGAGGACGCAGGGACTCTAGAGGATATTGTTGGGTGTCTGGAATGGATTAATTGGATTTACATGATTTCTTATGGGAAATATTGCTTCAGTTTTCATACGATTTGGTTTTCGTCAGACTTTTTCGAACGGATTGATCACAAAAACCAAGGTTCCACTGTATGTCAAACTTACCGACCCTCTGCTAAATCAAATTTAGGGTTAGTTGCAAGTTTTTAGCATTATTTGTTGTCCCACAGTAGTGAGTATTCCATGAGCCCTATAAATTGGAACATATTGGAGCAGCAGAACTGGAATATTTCTTAAATCCAGATCATGTTTTGGTGTGTGGTAAATATTATGGGTACATTATCTTGTGATTTTTGCGCAAATATTTTAGGCATTGTGTATGGAGTTAGCAAAAGTATTGAAATTGGCCCAGTCTCACAATGGTGAAAGATCCTGGATCCAGCTGATGATCCAGGTCACCACCAGAATTGAATGGATTATTTTGTGGCGCATACCCCATCCAAAAAATGTAATAAAAATAAGTTATGCTGTGAACAAACCAACAAATGCTGGTAAAAAGATCAACTCTTTGGTGTAGGTATACATTATCAATACTGCAAGGGAGTTTTGACAAAACACAAAACATTGGTTTCACAGAAGAAGAGATTTCTCTTGTAATAAGCCCTGTAGAAGCGGAGAGTGGCCCCACAATGACCACAGTGTGAACATATACTGTGCGCAAATCCTCATGCATTTTAAAGCTTTAAGTCAGTCCCTGAAAGATGAAGCTAGACACACACCAGCTTGCCCTACTCTATCTGTTCTTCCACAGGGTGGCGACCGTGGAGCAGTGGGTAGAGCAGTTGTTTCCCAACCACAAGGTTGGAGGTTCGAGTCTTGGTGCCGGCAGTCCACATGTCAAATTGTCCTTGGGCAAGACACTGAACCACCCCTGTTGCCCCCGATGGTTAAAAAAGCATTGGTTGAGTTGGTGCCGCAGATGGCTGTCATCGGTTCTGTACCGGAAACAAATTCCTTGTGTGTGTAACATACGTGGCCATATAATTTATTTTTATTATTTATGCTTGACTTAATTTGAGAATCTAAAAGAAGAATTGTATCCTGGCATATTGTGAACATTATCCTTCTACCTTTCATACAGACTTGTAAACGTTACTGCCTGTAGGCAGAACTGTGGATGCTGGCTCTGTGACTTGTGCCACAGGGGGTCATGATTCTGTCAATTTAATTACAAAAGACAATGGTGAATCTTGCAACCATCTCCCGACTGTCTGCTGCTGCTTCTGTCAGTAGGATCAGAGCCCAGAGTCTGCCTGAACCACAGCTCTGACATTTACTAAATTCAACTTGGGTGTGCTGGTGTGTGTGTGTGTGTGTGTGTGTGAGAAAGGTAGAGACAAAGCCTATTTTTCAGGCTAATGAAGGAGGTTGACAGGCTTTTTAACTTCTGGACTCCAGAGGGGTTGAAAGCTGAACACTAAGACACTAATTGCAGGTATATAGTCACTGAGTGGGCCAATCAGAGCTCATTATCTCTGCTGGTGTGTGGCCTGGTATTATTCATGTTGTGGGAATGTAAATCTGTTTACACAGTTGCATTGTGGGGACTTGATATTCTTCTGAAGACAAAAAGCTAGTCCCCAAAATGTAAATCATTACATCACAGAGTGAAGACTTGGTTCAAGGTTAGGTGAACTACTCCTATCTCAGTGGATGTTCTGACCAATTCAAAACGGTTCGAGAGAGAGAGGCAAAGGTAACGCACGGGGCAGCTTAGGGCGAGGTTAGGTGTTAGGTCAGTAGTGGTTATGGTTAAGGTTATAGTATGTCTCCAGAAAATGTTAGTCAATGTAATGTCCCCAGAAGTTATGGAAATGCTGCAAGCATGTGTGTAGGGGAAATTTAAAAAAAATTCCTTCAAATAAAACAAATTAGTTTTTTTTTCTAAATCACAGCAAATAATCACACACATCTTAATGTGACTCATCCATGATTAAAATAATAGGAATTGCAAGGTCAAACTGAAAACAGTTATTCTGGATATTTTGGAAGCAGTTTTTGTATGGACTTATAAAAATACAAGGTATGTTACTGGTAGAAACAAAATTATACCAAGTATTTCAAATAGTTATAGTGTACTTGTGACAGTGTTCTTGTGATTGTGTACAAATTGTCCTGAGTTGACATTAGATTCCCAGCCTGAATTATTAGTCATGTCTAGCCCTGTCTTGAGGAAGTATCTGACTCTTTAGCTGCTAAATGCTCCATTCACCAGCTAGTGTCTAACTGTTTGTATCTGCTGTGTGCTGCAGCAGGTATTGTACAGTGGCTTTATCAGAGCTCCCCCTGAAAACTTCCTGCTGTGATGAGAGCAGTGAGTGAACCAGAACAGTAAAACTGTTCTCTAGACACTAAATAATGAGCTGAAATTTACTGTATAGCTCTGTTATGTCAAGTGGTACTGCAGATTGAGCTAATAGTTCACTGTGGATTCATCTCTATAAAGTACCTCTTTCATGTTGTCACATTGTTTTCCACAGTGTTATCTCATCTAATATATAGTTATTCTGAAAAATTAAATAAAAAATTAAAGCCACTTTATTGTTTCATGGTCATAGACTACATTTGCACACATCTAAACATCAAGTTTTTCTCCATATTTGGGCCCCAAAATAGGCCCATAACAGAAATCACTGTGTAAAAGCATTACTTTAATTGGATGCACATGCACTCACAGCCCTCTCCAAAATTACAAAGGCTGTGCACTATATTTCACATTGATTAAAGCCTGAAATGTCCATTAAAATGCAACTTTTAACATGGTTGAGGTCTGTAATGTACAGATTAATATCTGAAACTTAGCAATAATCAAATGTCCCTAAATAATCTTAGGTTTTTCTGTGCTGGCCACAGCTGCGGTGTTCTTTTGTTCCAGTTTATTAAAAACAATGACTGATATATTTTAAAATCACAGGAAAGCCTTCAACACAATGGCCAGTTTGCCACCAGTGTGTGGGATTTCATTGAAAATAAAACCCAAGTGCTTGCTCAAGGTGCATTTGTTGGGTTTTTCCTCTATAATAATAATAATAGTAAGGTCTAGACCTTTCTTTGTAAAGTGTCCTGCAATGACTTTTGTTGTGATTTGGTGCTATACAAATAAAACTGAATTGGAAGTCTTTGGTTGCAAATCAAAAACTGCAGTTCAAAGTAGTCTGGTCGCGGTTGTGATTACAATGCATTGGGAGAGGTGAGGCATAACACTGGGTCAGTGACACTGGAGTAGTATGATTTTAGTCTTTGGCACTGACATATAAAGCTTGGCATTGAAAATGAAACTGTAACTGAAAAAGCAAACACTGGCATTGAAGCAATTGTACTGAAGAAAAAAACCCAATGACAATGACAAAAAAATATTAATTCTAGAAAAATGACAATCTTCTGATTTTCCGTTAACACAAGTCTTGTCCAATGCCAGAGCTGTTTCTGGTGGACTAAATCCAGACTGAAAATTCTCAAACAAATAATTCTTGTGTTCTTATGTTGTGTCTCAGGAAAATGCAGCAGGGCTCCAGACTGCGACAGATCAGTTGCATTTTGCGACCAAATCTTTTTAAGGAGTGACTGACTTTGTTCAAAGGTCACAGTTGGTGCTACTAAACATCCAAGGTAACAATATCTACCCCATACATAAATGGGCTAAACTATAAATGGCAAAACCATTTAGTAAAACATAAACACTTTTAGGAGTTAAATTACACTTTTCCCTCCCTTCTTCTGTTTGTCATCATCTCTCTTTTGGTCCTCCCTTGCTCACTTCTTTCCCCCATCCTCCATCAGCCAAATAGGATTATACATTCCATGTGCAGCACCAGCTTTGCATCAGGTTCAGCTATGGGTAATGATGTAAGACTGCAAACAGAAACTTTCAGAAATAATCACATATGTATCTGTGAACACTGCACATGCTCAATAGATTCTGTTTATGTTTTAGATGTCTTGCTTGTTTCAAGTAGTCTGTGCTCCCAGGCTGTGGAGCAGTTCAGGTGCAGCAGAGGATTAAAAATGTTTGAGATCTGAATTGATGCTGCATGTTGAGAGCAGAAGAGAAACAGCTGCATGAGCAGATGATGTTAAAAAGAAACAGTTTAACAGGTCAGCCAAGTCTAGATGTGTCAGGTCCGCTCGGCGCGACCTGCCTCTCTTCCGCCTTCCTCTCCCCTGTTCTCTCGACCAGCGGGATTCGCACCTCAGCTGCGTGGCATTCGTAATTAGCGATTCGTTTCTCGGTGCACACAGCTGGGGTGCATCCCGCTGATTGACTTCCTCCTTATTTATACCTCTGGCAGACGCTCTGCCGTCGCATTACCCAAAGTACCGCACTTATAGTTTGTAACAACCGTAAAGTGCATACCACGTAACAACACTACACTCGTGGTATGTATTGTTTGTCATTTGGTTTTCCACGCTGACAGTACCTGTGCTGTGGGTCGCCTTATGTACGTTGGTTATTTTTTGTGTGTTTTTAGAAGACCGCTGACAGTTCCTGTGCGGTTTTTTTTTTTTCGTCGTTCGCCACTTTATTTTTTTCACCTGTCCGTCCCCATTCTCCTACTTTCTTAATTCCTGCCATTAGCTTGTCTTCTTCCCTGGTTGTCCTGGTGTCCTCAACCATCTGTGCTTTACCCAGGCTGTAGACTGTATATGTGTATGGACCTTGTTGTGTTGTACTTTGTGTTTTTTTTTTTTTGTTTTTTTTTTTGTTCCATTAAACCTCCTTTTTTCCTACTAGCACCTGGGTCAGCCCAATTGAGTCCAACCTCAGTTCTCCCTCCTTCCCTGGTGAGGGGGACTCAAACATAACAAGATGGGTTGACTGTTTGGCTGGCTGTTTTTCTTTCCCCTTAAAGGTAGAGCTTTACCATTTATTTGTTTAAGCCTAAGTCTGATTTTATCTCACCCAAGCTTGTAACTGGTCCTTGAGTGGACTGACAAACACTCACATTAGCAAGATTTCTTCCAATATGACTATTTTTGTGACAGCTTGTAAAGCCTGAACTAAAGTGCAAGAAGGTGTAAAATATGGTGGTATTTTCTGTAATTATACCAATTGCATGATGCAGTTTTGTAGAGGGATATGCATTAGAGCAGTGTTCAGCGTATTCATCCTTAGTGAACCCTCAATAGGCAGAGCCAGCAGGCACACAGACTCACAGGAGATTGAAGCTCTGAATAACAGTTTCTATGGAGAGCTGCCACAGTGTGTTACAGCTGTCGTCCACCGCTGTGGATGGGAAGAGTGTCTGGCAGGTTTCGATTCACACCAGACTCTGCCTCCACATCTCCTCTTGCCTCGCCTTGACTTCTTGTCAAACAACACCTGACAGCAATGACAGGTGCAAGAGGAAGAGATATGGTCAGTTCTTTCAAAATTTCTTGATAAACATGTTTAATTTGTATGTTCTGCTGGAGATTTTATAAACGGAGGTGTTAATGGAGTGAAAGATAACGGGATAATACCTGGTGAAAAGCAAGTTCCATGATTGTAATGGACTGCAGTGGATGGCATGGAGACCTCCTTGGCTGGTGTTAATATCACTTATACCACAGTCTGTTTATTTATTTTACTTTGTATTAAACATTGCAAAAGCTGCAGTATTGCTTAAATTCTATTATAAACAGCTGGGGAAAAAAAAAATTTAAATGTCTTTATTGAAACAAATAGCAATAACTCATACAGAAGAGAGAACTCATCATAAAATAATTTTCCAAAAGTGTAACAAGGTTGATTGCTTAAATTATCACTGAACAGGCTGCACAGACATACAGTACAGCATAAGCATAATGCAAATCAATACAAAGTTTTTTCTGATTGATCACCTTTATCCTATAATGAAGCATTTCCATCCTGATGGGAGTGGTCTCTTCTAGGATGACACTGACTGATATGAGGATGACCATGATGCTGTGGCCTTCCCAGTTACCAGGTCTCATCCCAGTTGAACAGCTATGGGAGAGTTTGGAGCGACGTGTTTCACAGCGTCTCCACCACCATCATCAAAACAACATGAGGGAACATCTGTTGGACGAACGGTGTTCATCTCAGACTTGGAGAGTCAGTGCCAAGGTACACTAAAGCTGTTGTGGTGGCCCAGCATCTTACTGAAAAATTGTTTGTTTTTTTTCCTTTTGTCACTTGTCTGCATGTCCATAGATATCCAGTTACTAAAAGTAATCTACACTTTTCAGAAACTGTCCTCATGCTCAGAGAAATGAGAGAGGGACTTCACTGAAGAGAAATAAACATCCTGCAGTATGGGAAAGTTTCTTATTGGGTGGACACACATGCTTTGGAAATGTGTTAAAATACTGCAGTCAAGCTGAATACAGCAGTAGATTTAACCTCTTTTCTCCATAAAACACAATGTATCTTGGGTCATAGCCAGAAAGTCCACATTTTCATTTCCCTTGGGTGTTTTGGTTTTTATTTTTAATTATGGTTCATTGTTTTTCCATTTAATTTGATATTTAAGAATATTTCCTTGTTTTTAACTAAATCATATATTATGATGGGAGAAGATATTTTAGACTGTCATTATCATACTCTGTATTGTTCAATAATCAAAGCTGTTTTCTCATTTAAGTGTGAATAAAGAATAAATGTCAGCAAATAACTGCATAGTAAACAATTCTTTGCTGCAAGTAATAGTGTGATTTATATACATATAGTGCACAGTGACCTTTTGGAAAATGTTTGTGTGGAAATGGTGCTTCATTTAAATTGATTTTCACACAGCCCCATAAATGTTTGTATGAGAAATAGCCAAGTTTTTATTTGATTCTTAATGCAATAGTTTTGATATTAATCCTCACTGTCACTGCTACAACCTACAGCCCTGAGCTCTGCCACATTCAGAGTCAGTGGCTCTGTGTGCTTTTTTTTTTTTTTTTTTTTGTTACTAAAACCTTACTGATGGAAATGTTTGATTAATGGCTGGCTGCTGGTTTAAAATGTTGGCAAAACACACCAGAGAATTAATCTAACGGCGTGTCTGTACTCTAACTTTTCAGTAGAAAATACAAAGGCCAAGACAACCAGGTTGTAGTGGTGCTGAAGCTCATTGACAAGTGCTACAGTTGTTAGTAACTGATGCCAGTTCAGATTACATGTCAGACAGCAACATCTCATTTCACAAAGTTCTTGAATATGTTTTATAAATATAAACATTTTTAACACCAGTGTTATAAAGTGCTTCATAGCTGCTAAAAGTGAATAGAAGCATTTGAATAAATAAAAACAATGAACTTTGTTTTAAGAAGTAGTCAGGGCAAGAGTGCTTCACTAAAGTGTCTTGAGATGACATTCAGGGCTCTAGTTTCCTGACAACACAATTTCTGTGTCACCTCGTTTGCAGTCCTTTTGCAGTCTTCCTTGAGCCCATCTCTACTTTTTGATGCACATTGGTGTGTTTGGTATTTTCCTGTAATCAATGCGCTTATACTGAGGTGGGAGGAGTTGAGGCTGGGTGTATGCTAATTAGGCAGCACAGTGCAATTTTGGTGCTCCTTTTGACCTGAAATAGCGATAACACCTGTTCAGATCACCTCTTAATGCAATCACAGGCGCATTTGCAATTTTCTTGACAAGCACCTAGACTAGAAAGCACAAGACCGGGTACCCAAATGTAGTTTAATGAACTCACCAACTTAAAATTAATCCTTAAATCCACAGCTGATCTGCTCTAATTCACTTTGAATAATTTAGTGTTTCATGAAGATTATTTTTAAAGTAATATACCTTCAATCACCAGTTATGCAGGCTTGTATCATGGCAGTAGATATTGTGCTTTAGTCACACATAAACTACCAAACAATGCTGCAGTCCACAAAAATGTCAGCAACCAAGTGTCGAACAGTTAAGACGGAGCTCTTGGATGACTCTGGGGCCCTGTGGCAGTTCCTGACAGAACTGCCCTTTAAGAAAAAAGAGATGTTGCTGTGCTTCAGCATTCATAGAACCCAGGCCTGAGTTATCTGTTGCCAGTTTGTGAAATCATAATTCCAGGCTTTACTAGCAGCTGGTTAGAGACACAATTTTCAATTCCACAGATTTTGTCTTGATTGATATTTGAAAGACAAATTTTGATCTCTACTCAGTTTTAGCCTCACATTATTCTCTTTGTTCACACATCCTTGTAAATGCGAACACAAAAAACACTGAGATTATCTGTGTAGCTCATACTTTTGGCTTTTCTTTGATCTGGTCGATCACATTTGAATTAAGTGAAGGTGAAGACTTTTAACGGGGATTTAACCTGTACATCTCGCCTGGAGCGACCCCCGCCTTCTGTAGCACAACTTCGCACCATCGTTTTACTCTCAACTATGAATTATTCAGCTCAAATATAAATAGGGAAGAGACTTTCACAATGAGCAGGCTGTGGAGTTAAACTTGTTCTCAGTGTGATCCTCTCTAGGTGAGCTGCAGTTTTAGCTCAGCAAAAACAACGAGACCAGGACGTCATGCAGCTCTTTTCCAGAGCTGTCAGTGTGGCTTTGTTAAATGATTCATGCTTTCCACTGTCTATCCTTGTGCAGCAAAGACAAAGGGCTGCTTATAGGCTGAACCCCTCAGGTCTACAACCTGGCTCTACATCACACACAAGTTTTTTTTTAATTTTCAGGTAAAACTTTCACATACTGATAAGTCATGTACAAAAATGTCCTGTGGACAGATGAAACAAAGGTAGAATTATTTGAGAAGAACACAGCACTATGTATGGTGTAAAAAGAGAACCACGTACCAACATGAAAACATCATCCCAACAGTGAAGTACGGTGGAGGGAGCATCATGATGTGGTGCTGCTTTGCTGCCTCTGGACCTGGACCACTTGCCAATGTGGAGGGGGAAATAAATTCCCAAGTTTATCACGGTATCCTGCAGGAAAATGTCAGAGTGGCTGTCTGCAAACTGAAGCTTAAAACAAGCTGGGTGATGCAGCAGGACAATGACACTAAACATTGAAGTAAATCTACTACAGGATGGCTTCAGAGACAAAATCCACCTTTTGGATATGCCCAGTCAGTGCCCAGACATCAACCTAACAGAGATGCTGTGGAATGACCTCAAGAGAGACGTTCACACCAGACATCCTAAGAATATGGTTGAGCTGAAGTAGCTCTGTAGGAAGAATGATCCAGAATTCCTCCTGAAAACTGTGCAGGTCTGATCCACAGCTACAGGAAGTGCTTGCTTGAGGTTATTGCTTCCAAAGGTGGTTCAACCAGTTATTAAAACACTGTTACCATTACTTTTTCCACCATCATTGTATATGTTTAATGGGTGTGCTCAATAAAGACATGAAAGATCAGGACTGTTTGTGTTTCATCAGCCTAGAAATATTGTGTTTGTTGATATTTGTAACTTTGGTGAACATCAGCCGTCCCTGGTAGGCTAGTAGTTAAGGCACAGCGGCGAGAGCACTGTGCCCCGGGTTCAAATCAGGGTTACATCAGGAAGGGCATCCGGCATAAAACACATGCCAAATGTCAACATGTGAGTCATCATATTCGCTGTGGCGACCCCTAAATGGGAAAAGCCGAATGTGACTTTCTTGGTGAAGATCAGATCACATTTCATGACTAATTTATGCAGAAAACCAGGAAATTGCAAACACAAACTTTTTCTTGTGACTATAGCCTGTAATGTGTTTGCATAATAGCTGAAAGGTTGACCCTAATTCATAATTGGCTGCAGAGTGACTGTCTACACTTAAATACCAGTACCTAAGTCAGTCATCTCCTAGTTTGAGATAATTGGTTTTGAGCATGGCAAACATTTCTGTATATGCATAGTATGCAATATGTACAGAAGTTACTATTCCATGATCAAGGTTTTTCTCCATGTAAACCTGTGTCAGACTTAGTTGTCCTAATTAGTGGAAGAGCAGGATGTGGATGTGTTCACGTTGTTCAGTATTTTTCCAGATTTTTTATTAGTCAGTATAATAAGTAATGTTGTCTAATTAGTCTGAAAATTCATAACAATGCAGAAGCTGTATATCATGTCCTTGTATTGTCTAAAAGAGTGAGCATCATTCTTTGGGCAAGGTTAGATGGAATCAAGGATTTTGATGTTTATCAAGTGAACAATTTTTTTTCCCCCATCCCCCTAAAAGTGTAATTCACTGAAATTTCAAGTGAAATAATAGGACACTGAAGCTAAGTAGTGGTAAAAGCAATTGTCATCATTTTCATTCTTTTTAGACTGAAGTTTCAAAGGGAAAGCGAATCTAGGCACTCAAGATAACAATAATTTATCCTTTTAATAATATAATTAGAAGATATATAATGTAATTGCAGAACCAGAGAAATGATATCCCAAATGAGGCTCATAAAGGCTGCAAAGTAGATTAATCTGTAAAGGTAATGGAGTAATTCTTCCTCTGAACAATCTATTTAGAGAAAAAAGACAGGCAGAGAGTGGGCAAGAGTAGGTGAAAGACACAAAGAGGAGAACCTGGTATCTCTGAGAAATGTGAAGAGACTAATGATGTGTCATTCACGAATGATTCGTTCATTTTGAACAAATCTTTCCCATGACTCGAGAGCATTGGGTCGTCTTGGGGAGTGATTTGTTCATTTTGTATCTACCGCGCAGGTGCAACATCCCATAAGATTACTATACCTTTCA